CATGGAATACTCTTTGGCCATAAAAAAACAAGACCCTGGCATTTGATAGAAAATGGATAAATGTGGGAGATTTATTGCTGAGTGAAGCAAGCCAGGCTATGAAAAAGAGACCTGTATATCTCCACTTTATACTGACTGACTGTCCACACTCTATGGTAGAGACTGAAAGATTCGAGGACTATAAAAGCATTGAAATTAGTTATCAACACTGGAGACACTGTGGAAGGAGGATGGGAGAGGGGGAAAGAGGATCGAGAAGGAAATTAGGGAGAAAAAATAGAGAGGCAAGACATTTGTGGGACACAAATTGTTTATTACCTGTTGATAACATGTATAGTATTCTCAACTGGACTGGCCTGATGTGTATTTCATGGTAGGTAATAATCTTTATAAGCCAAATGATGTATAGTGATTGAATGTATTTTAAAAATTAATAATCAAGTAAAATAAAAAAGGAATATTTACTTTAAAAAAAAACACACAAGAGATACGTTTATGAGAATCATACAATTTCTACTACTGTTGTAATATAAAAATCATTTTTGAGGACCAGCAGTTAGCATAATGGCTATCACTGGACTCCCATGTAGTTGACCACAGTTTGAGTCCTGGACCCAGCAGCTTAAAACTCACGACGGGTGCATGTGCGTGCGTGCCCAAAATCCCAAGAGGAGAATGGAGGAGAAAGGATTGTGGCGTGGCCATCCCCCCCCAGGGGGGGGTATATCTCATCTTCTGTATCTCTGTCTGTCTGGCAAGTGCATGCGCACTATAGCAAAAACCTCTCCAAAAAAAAAATCATTCTTCACTATCCTAAAAATGTTAATGTTTCTGGATCAAAATTAAATGTAAACTACCAAAACATCATAACAATTGGCTACCCTAAAACTTCTGCAGTCCACTCACTATGGGACAGGCTTTTTTTTTTTTTTTTTTCCCCTAGGACACAGATTACTACACAACAGGTCTCTGGAAATGACATCTGTCCACATTCAAGAGAGAATGTGGTATTTCTCTTTCTGTGCCTGCTTTATTTCACATAATGTAATGTCATTAAGACTAATCCATGTTAACCCAAATGACAGAATTTTGTCTTTTTGGTCATAACATTTCAATGTATGTATAAACCATGTTTTATCCATGCATCTGTGCATTCACATTTACACAGACGCCAAGTCTTGACTATCATAAATCATATGGCAATAGACATCCAATTCAGTAGGTAATCATATGGTATATGGCAATTATATGGTATATACTAAAATATGCATAGCATTCAACCTAGTAATTCCACCTCTGAGACTTTTTAAGAATTATTTTATTTAACTTCTTTTTATTTACTTACTTATTTTAATTTACCAGAGAGGAAGAGAGAGAGATAGAAAGTGAGAAAACAAACCACCAGGTCCAGGACTCCAACCACAGTTGACCATTTGAGTCCAGCACCCTTAAATACCACACTACATGCCTGCCCTGATGATGATAATTTTAACTTGATGAGAGAGAAAGGGAAAAGCGAGAAACCAAGCCACCAGATGTGGGAATCCAGCACCCTTAATCATCATGCCACCTGCCGGCGCCTGGGACATTTTCTTAAGGATGAGAGTATTCACGTTGCAAAGATGTGTGTCGAGAAGTGAAGTCGAAATCCAGAAGCAAAAGTCAACCATGAGGATTGGGGTTTGTGAAAAAATAATAAAATACTTTGCCCCATGAGGGAGGAAACAGGCACTATATACAATCGCTATAGGGATTTGAAGTATGGAGCCTCAAAGATCACCTGCTTCTTTTTTTAAAACAAGCTCTGGCAAGTTTTATTAAATAAAAATGTTGCAGTTTTACTTTTCAGCTGTTTGTGCTGGTATGCTTCTAATGATATCAGTCACCTAAATCAGTGATAGCCAGTGTGCATAATTTAGTATTTTCTGCATGCTATTCCCAATTCAATATTATTTCCACTGTAGTGATGGACACCAGTTTTGGCCAACATGACCTAGGACTCTATTTCAGATTTCCTCAAAGATGGGCAGTTGTTAGTGAGGATGACCAATTTCACTGATCCGCTGATCATCTTCAGAGCCTGACTGTACCTTAGCATGTACTTTCCACTTTTCATGAGTTGGAACCTAGAGTTGATCAACCCCTGGACTTTTTTGTCTTCTTTGCAGCCTCTTCCTGCCTTAGGTGCAGAACAACCCCCAACCAATAGCAGCTGCCTAGATGGCTAGGGAGCAAGGAAGATGAGGTCATTTGTTTTTTGCTTTTTTTTTTTTTTTTTTTTTGAGAGGTTTTTGCTATAGGGCACGTGTACTCTCCAGAAAGACAGAAAGAAAGTGAGAAATCACCGCAGGCGGGGATGACCATGCCCAAACCCTTCTCTTCCATTCTCCTCTTGGGATCATGGGCATGCACACACATGCACCCCACTTGAGTTTAAGCCACTGGGTGTGGGACTCAAATTGCAGTCGACTACATAGGAGTCCAGTGACATAGCCATTATGCCAACTACTGGTCCCAGAGATCACCTGTTTATTAACAGCTCATGATTGGTATAACTTCACCAAGTTTGCTGGGATCAACTCCAAATACACTGCTTACATATCAACTTTTGTCTTGAACTTGTGGGGAAACTCATTTTTTAAAGAGTTTTTTTTTTTGTTTTTTTTGTTTTTTTTTTTTTTTTTTGCTATAGGGCATGTGCACTTGCCAGAAAGAGACAGACAGAAAGAGAGAAATCGCCCCCCAGGGGGATGGCCACGCCACAATCCCTTCTCTTCCATTCTCCTCTCAGAATCTTGGGCACGCACGCACACATGCTCGACGCGAGTTTAAGCCACCGGGTCCAGGACTCCAACCACGGTTGACTACATGGGAGACCAGCATTGTAGGCATTACACCACCTGCTGGCCCGGAGGAAACCCATTCTAATACGGGGTGTGTGTGTGTGTTTGTTTGTTGAGCCTAAACCTGTAATTTACTCATGGATTCACACCATTATGGAACTTTACCCCTCCTGTACCCCTCTCATGGAGAAAAATAGGTAAAAAGGCAAAAAATGAGGGCCATTTTCTAAAAAGTGGTAGTCCAGGTGATCACACTAAGTGCTTTTCTTTTTGCAATGGATTTTTAAAAATATTTAATTTTATTTATTCATTCATTTATTTTAATTTGACAAGAGAAAGAGAGAAAGTGAGAAAGCACTTGAGTCCTGGTGGTCCAGGACTCAAACCATGGTTGGCCATTGTGGGAGTGTCCAGCACCTTCACCACCACACCACCTGCTGGTCTCAGGAATGGATATTTTTTAAAGAGTAATGTTTCTGTTAGAAAGTCCTTTTTTTTTTTTTTTTTTTTTTTGTGTGGTTTTTCATTTAGGGGTTGTGCACTCGCCAGAAAGGTAGAGACAGAGACAGAAAGCAAGAAATCACCCCCCAGGAGGTATGGCCACGCTGCAATACCTTCTCCTCCATTCTCTTCTTGGGATCTTGGGCACGCATGCACACGTGCCTGGAGTGAGGTTAAGCCACCGGGTCTGGGACTTGAACCATGGTTGACTACAGGGGAGTCCAGCAACATACCCATTACGCCAACTGCTGGTCCCAGAATTTCCTGTTTTTATACGTCATTTTAGCTTACTCAAGGAAGTTGATCATGACAAAGATGTACAATAGAAAACCAGACTAAAAACACAAGCTATAGCTTAAAATATCTGGCAATTATACATACAGTACGTTTGAAAACATCTTCCTGTTCTACATCATGTCTTTATTGTTACTGAAAGAAACAACCACTGAAATCAATTCTTATGTGAATTAAATTTTTAAAAAGCATAAAATAAATGTGGGTGAGGGGACCAGTTAAAGGTTTTTTGTTTGTTTGTTTGTTTGTTTGGTTGTTTTTTTTTTTTAAGTTTAAAGGTCTCAGATGAAAGGAGAAATAAATTTTAGAGTACTTATTGTAATGGACACAAGTTACAAAACCAACTGTAAATGAAAGCTGTTCACTTGTCCCTTATAACTGCAAATTGTTTCTGGTTTTTATTCCAATTGGAATGCTAAAGAATGCAGTCACGGGAACCAGCAGTTAGCGTAATGGCTATGTCGCTGGACTCCCATGTAGTCAACCGCGGTTTGTGTCCCGGACCCGGTGGCTTAAAACTCACGCCGGGCGCGTGTGCGTGCGTGCCCAAGATCCTGAGAGGAGAATGGAGGAGAAGGGATTGCGGCGTGACCATCCCCCCGGGGGGTGATTTCTCGCTTTCTGTCTCTATGTCTCTCTCTGTCTGTCGGGCGAGCGCATGCGCCCTACAGTGAAAACTCTCTCCAAAAATAAATAAATAAATAAATAAATAAATAAATAAATAAATAAATAAAAGAATGCAGTCACCGTATCACTGTGTTCCTACCATATCTTTGAAGATTTATTGATCTGCTCTGTGATACATCTGGCATAGCAGCCATGACCAGGGCTTTACTTGCTTGAGTGAAGTAGCCTTCAGTCATTCTCCAGGATCCTTCATGTTTCTGAGGCACCTAGTGAATTAAATGGAGGTATGAGGACACCCACTCCATGAATCTCCTCTATTTATGAGATACAAGTGATTTTTCTTTCTGAGAGACTTTTGCTATAGGGCATCAGATGGAAAGCAAATCACTCCCCAGCAGGGATGGCCACACCACAATCCCTTCTCCTATTCTCCTGGTATCTTGGGCAAACATGCACATGTACCCAGTGAGTATGAAGTGACCAGGTCCAGGTCTTGAACCAGTCAGCCCTGTGGGAGCCCAGCAACACAACTACTATGTCATCTGCTGGTCCCAGGCTAGTAATTTTGATTTACTATTTTGTTGTGGAAGTGGGAGAGTTTCCCAGGTTTCCATCTGGCATTCTCCATTATGACTCAATCCACAGATGAGGGAACAAAGAGGTAGAACTGTTAAGTGTTTTATTAATTCCAGTGATATAACTTGGAGCATAGCAAAATAACTACTGAGTGTGTACACTGACCCAATGGGCCCATTGTAGACCAAACATTAGTCTGGACTCTATTACAAGGTCTCCTCAGACCCTGTGTCCAACAGGCCTTGAAATGTCTGAGAAATCCTCTCCTTAGCATACTTGAGTAATAGGTCTCTTTAGGGAAGGAATGGGGAAATTATCACAGTATATAATAATTCTATAGCATTTCTATTAGTTTATACTGCTGCTATAACAAAGTGGCTTAAACACAAACTTATTAGTTTTGTAGGTAAGATGTCCGATAAGGGGCTCACCAGACTAAGATGTAGGTGTTGACAGGGCTACACTCCTTTTGGTTTTTGGAGGCACTAGGTGAGAATCCATTTCATTGCTTTTTCAGGAGTCTAAAGGCTTCCTTTTTTTTCCCCAGGTCATGATCCCCTTCCTCCATCTTCAAAGGTAGCAATGGTGGGCTGAATCTTTCTGCCATCTCACTGGTTCTCTGACTGCTGAGAAATGTTTTCTGCTCTTCTCCAATCTTGTTGATCATTACAAGAATTGTGATGTGACACTGGTTGTGTAGTGCTACAAAGTGACCCATTTCTTCCTTGATCCATCATCTTTATGAGTAATGAGCCTGTCTCTGTGACTACCCCCCTCATGTCATCATCATGGCCTGCAGAAAAGAACCAATACCAACTTTCTTGCTGTCACCCTTCCTAGCTATACTCTGCATGGACTTTGTAAAAGGTCTTTCCCCACAGGCCCATTTCCTCATTTTTCTCACGAGCTATGACTGCTTAGGAATTTCTCTGCTGCTGGGAATTGGCCTTTGGTGCAACATGACTCCAAACCCTACAGAAAAAAATGCTTCTCACCTCTGAGTACCTTCAAATGCCTGTCATAGGATGACTTGTCTCTAGACCTCGGTCCACACTGCATGCATCTACAGGCAACTCACCTGAGTGTGTTCTCTCATGCGTGGTGAGGTATGACTGACTGGTAAAGCCTCGCCCACATTCTCTACACACAAAAGGATCTTCTCCTGAGTGTGTCCTCTTGTGATTTACAAGGCTTGATTTCCAGGTAAATTTTTTCCCACATTCAATACAGAGAAAAGCCTTCTCCCCTGAATGTGCCTTTTTGTGATTGTTGTAGGATGATATATTCCAAAACCTTCGTCTACACTCCTGGCATCTATAAGGTTTCTTTCCTGTGTGTGTTCTCTCATGCATGGTGAGGTGTGATTTACAGGCAAAGGCATCCCCACACTCCTTGCACACAAAAGGCTTCTCCCCTGAGTGCATCCTCTGGTGTGTAATGAAATTTGACTTTCTGTGAAAGTCTTGCCCACATTCACTGCACACATAGGGCTTCTCTGCTGAATGTGTTTTCTGGTGCCTAAGGAGATGTGGCTTCCAGTTGAACCCTCGCCCACATTCACAGCACACATGGGGCTTCTCCCTTGAGTGCATCCTCTGGTGTGTAAAGAGGCTTGACTTTTTGTGAAAGCTTCGCCCACACTCAGGGCACATATAAGTCTTCCCTGAGTGTATCTTCTGGTGTTTAAGGAGATGTGCTTTCCAGTGGAAGCCTTGCCCACACTCAGTGCACACATAGAGCTTCTCCCCTGAGTGTACTCTCTGGTGACTGAGGAGGTATCTCTTCAAGCTGAAGTGTCGCCCACACTCACTGCACACATAGGGCTTGTCTCTTCCATGTGTCTTCTGGTGTGAGAGTAATGCTGACTCATCACTAAAGCTCTGTCCACACTCCCTGCATATCAACAGCTTTTGCCTAGAATGTACTTTTTGCTGTGTAAGTAGCTCTGCCTTCTGGCCAAAGTCTGGTCCACACTCCGCCCACCTGAGTGTTCCCCATCTTGAATCTCCCATTCCTTTTAATATGTCATCTGTGTTCTTAGGATTTCCCCTCTCAGACTGCCTGGGTTCTATTTCCACCACTCTGTTCTTTTCCCTTGGGCTTTCTGGTTGTCTTCGGGCTGGGCTTGAAAATGTCCTTGGAATCTGCCTCTCCATCCTAAACAAGGGGTTAGAGCTTTTGTCTTTCCCTTGACCTTCTGCTGCATCTCTCTGGCCCCTCTGATCCAAAGACGGTTGCTGCTGTTGTTTCTGATCTGCCAAGTCAGGGTCTCTAGGCTGCATGTCATTCTCTGTATATGAGCCTGGGGACCTGTAGGCAGGATGTCTGTGTAGCAGGTGTTTACTGAGGTAGTGCTGACTGGAGAAGGACAGCGGGCAGCAAGGACAGAGATAGATTTCTGGCTTTGAGCCTGCCAAAGAGAAGAAGTTTTCAGTCATAAGAGTCAGAGTTGGGGCAGCTTAGGCCCTTCAGCCTTGTTTTGTAACAAGACCAGCTCCACAATACAACATGAACTCCATCTCCCATGAGACTGCCTCTACAAGACCAACTTTTCTGTTCCATTTTTATAGATCACATCTGCTCTTGGAAAACAAAACATATACTATCAAAGCATTTTTTCCACAGTCTATTTGCTAACCCACTGCTAGAGTAATTTCTAAAATTAAAATAATTAAATAAATAAATAAATAAAATAATCTTTTGAGAGTGGACTGACAGTGCAGACTGCTCCCCTAGAGAAATCAGTGAAGGACCAGCAGGCAGTATGGTGGTTAAGGCAACTGGATCCCAACAGGGCCAACTGTGTAGTTCGAGTCCCAGACCCCATGGCTTGAAAAGCACACTAGATCCATTTGTATGTGTGCCCAAAATACCAAGGAAAAGGTGTAGTAGAAAGAATTGCAGCATGGACATCCACCCTGGGGGAATTTCAACACACATCCCCCCTGCCAGTGAGAACACCCACCCTAAAATGGATACAAATTAAAACAGAAATCAGGATAGACATCTAAGAGTTGAACAACAATGATATAACTCTAAAGAATATCTTCAGGGCCAGCAGATGGCAAAGAGATTACATTGCTAGACGCCCACATGGCCAACCACGGTTCAAGGCCTAGAACTGGTGGCTTGAAACACAATAGGTGCATGTGCAAGTGTGCCAAAGATCCCAGGAGGAAATCAGAGAAGGGACTGTGGCATGGCCATCCCTCCTAGGGGGTGATTTCTCACTTTCCCTCTCACTGTCTGTCTCTCCCTACAGTACATATGCCCTTAGGCAGAAACTTCTAAAAACAAAACAAACAAAAAGTATCTTCATTACCTTGGCAGAGCAAGGATTTTTAAAACAAGACACAAAAGAGACTTTCAAGCAGCCTAGATAATGGCAATTGATCACAACTTTATTTTCTTTTTGGAGCTTATGTAGTTTGGATTTTTCTTTCCTTTTTTTTTCTTTCCTTTTTAAATTGATCCACGCAAGCTCCAAAAAGAAAATAAAGCTCAATAATAATGAGTACCTAAAACCCATACCTTAAGCACACAAAGAGGGAGAACACTATAAACCTATAATCAATAAATTTATTATCTAAATAAAGTCAAGAAATTAAACTGGTCTTCCCTCTGCTGACAGGAGAGGGTGCCCCTGAGCTGGGAATCCTGTCAAACACCACAAACTGCCATTCCTGGAAGGAGAAAAATAGTTGAAAACAACATAAATCTATTAAAAGGAAAAAAAAAAAAAAAGGAAAGCAAAAAAATCAAAATATTTCTGACACTAGATACCAACCATAAAATACAAACTCAAGGGAACCAGCAGTTAGCGTAATGGCTATGTCGCTGGACTCCCACGTAGTTGACCGCAGTTCGTGTCCCGGACCCGGTGGCTTAAAACTCATGCCGGGCGCGTGTGCGTGCGTGCCCAAGATCCCGAGAGGAGAATGGAGGAGAAGGGATTGCGGCGTGACCATCCCCCCTGGGGGGTGATTTCTCGCTTTCTGTCTCTATGTCTCTGTCTGTCTGGCGAGCGCACGCACCCTACAGTGAAAATCTCTCCAAAAAAATACAAACTCAACTATAACACATCAGTCTGAACAAACCGAACCTATAATGGGGGCCTGATTTAGTCAGACATTCCATCTTGTAAATTTAAATTGTTTTTCTTTCAGTTTGATACTCTCTGTTTGAGATCTCTTTTAGGAACTCTAAAGAAACAAATGGCCAACCTAAATCTTAAAACAATGAGGGACATTCTGCCCCAGGGGACAGAGACTCTGGTCTTGAAGACCAAATTGTTTGATTGTACCCCCTAGCTAGAAAATAACCCCATCTATGCTCTCCTATATATATAGTTGGTAGCCCTACAGATTATGCCTTCCTCTGTAAAAGCTTCTATATGTTCCCTAACCAGTAAAAGATACTTTTACATGTATTTCCAGTGTAGCCACACTCTAATTCTCCTTTCCTCTCCCACCAACAACTCTTGCCTTTCTGAGTCATACTAAGCAGCAAAGGGTCAGACCTGCTTTGGGTCTCTGGACTAGGACATAGGACCCCTTGTCCAGCAACAAATCATCCTTAAACATTTGGCAATAGGAAAAAACACTTAGAAATAGAAAAACTGTGAAGAGACATGCACAAAAAGATACAAACCACAGCTGTACAAAAAGAGATCACTGAATTCACCTAAACTCAAAATCTTTACAAATTTATAAAAGCCACAAAAAGTAACCAGGTTATCAACAGGGAGAACTTTTATTTTTGAAGTTCCTATAGGGCATGTGCTTTCCCTGGGGAAAAGGGGTGGGATAGGGCCAGGGAGAAAGTGAGAAATCAGCTCCCTCCCCCCCAGATGACCACACTGCAATCCCTTCTCCTGCATTCTCCTCTCAGGATTTTGGGCATACACACACACACACACACACACACACACACACACACACAAAAATGCACGCATATGCGTGTGCACACACACGTGCACCTATAGTGTTTTCAAATCACTATGTCAGAGAGTCAAACTGCACTGCTAGCCATGTGAGATCCAGCAGCTTTAACCTCCACCTGATGGCCCATCAACAGGAAGAACTTCTATATAACACATTTGATGAAGAATTGATTTCCAGGATTTAAAAAGACTATATATGTCAATACACTTTTCTAAGAGAAAACCAGAACTAAGATACAAACAAGTACTTTATAGTAGAAAATATGACAGCAACCAAGAGATATATACTAAGTATGTTTAACTTCACTGGTCACTAAACTGAGAACTCTTCCAGAAGTAACTTTATACTCATCACATAGTCAAAAAATCAAAGTCTGATTTTTTTAAATAATTATTTTATTTAACTTTATTTATTTAAATTTTGACCAGAGAGGGACAGAGTGAGAAGGAGAGAAAGAAGGAAAGTGAGAAAGCAAGTTGCCAGGTCAGGGTCTCAAATCACAGTCGGCCATATGGGAGTACAGCACCCCCAACCACCATGCCACCTGCTAGGCCCCAAAGTCAGATATTTCTAAATGGTGGCAAGGATATGGATGAGTATAAATGAACACAACATCACTGGAGAACCATCTGGCATTGCTCAGAGAAGCTACTGCTCTCTGTGTACAGCTGCTCCTCTCCCAGATGTGTATCTCAGAGAATATGTACACAGAAATCCACAGGGACATGTACTTCAGGGACTAAGGCAGCTTTGGTAAATAGTCCAAATAAGAACTACTGAAGTGCTACAAGGCAGCAAATACTCTGTGTTCTAGTCAGACAATGAAATATAACCAAGAATGAATATATTAAAGTGGGGCCAATAGTTGGCATAATGGCTATTTTGCTGGACTCCCACATAGTCAACTGTGATTCAAGTCCCAGACCCAGTGGTTTAAACTCACACTGAGTGCATATGCATGCATGCGCAAGATCCTGAGAGAATGGAGATGGGATTGCAGTGTGGCCATCCCCTAAGGGATGATTTCTTGCTTTCTGTCTCTCTGTCTCTATCTATCTGGTGAGTGCAAGCGCCCTACAGCAAAACAAAAAACAAAACCTCTTAAAAAAAAAAATGAATATGTTAAAGTAACATATATCAGGCCAGCAGGTGGCAGCATGGTAGTTAAGGCACTGGATTCCCATATCAGACCTGGTAGCTTGCTTTCTCACTTTCCCTCTCTCTCTTTCAGGTCAAATTAAAATAATCATAATGATAAATAAAATCATTTTTAAAAAGTAACATATATCAACAACCAACAAACATCAATGGGGAAAAAAACAGCAGGAGGAACCAGTAGATGGCGTAACAGCATTGATGGACTCAGAAGGTCAACCACAGTTTGAGATCCAGACCCAGATGCTTGAAACTCACACCAGGCATGTGTGCGTGCATGCCCAAAATTCCAAGAAGAGAATGGAAGAGAAGGGACTGTAATGTAGCCATAACCCCTGGGGGTGATTTCTCACTTTTTATCTCTCTGTCTCTGTCTCTCTGGCAAGTGCATGTGCCCTATAGCAAAAATCTCTCTGAAAAAAAGAAAAAAACAGCAGAAGGAATTACAATACAAATCCATTTTCACCAAGTGCAGAAATATGAACATCAGCATTGTATATAGTTTAGATACAAAAAAAAGAAAGGCTAAATAAATCCACACCTGGTAAGAACATCTACTTAAAAATAATGGTTCTCTCAGGTCAGTCCATGGCATGGTAGTTAAGGCAGCTTGATCCCACATGGCCAATGTTGAGTTCAAGTCCCAGACCTGGCAACTTGAGAAACCCACCAGGTGCATGTGTGTGCATGCCCAAAATCCCACAAGGAGAAAGGAAATTGCAGAGTGACTATTCCTCATGGGAGGGTGCTTTCTCTAGTGAGCACACATGTCCTCTGATAAAGATTTAAATACATGCATTAAAAAGAATAGTTCTCTGAGAGAAACTCAGAGGGGGTATCATCTAGGAAGGGGAAGTAGAATGCTTCATGAATGTTTTGTGAATGTTTTATGTTTTAGGATGAGGACTGGACAAACCTGTGCTAATTTTTGTCATCCATACTGTGTGGCATTTCTTAAGTACTACAGTACATCAAATGAGAAAACAAAACACTGTAACAAAGGAAAAGGAGAGATAAACAAATGACATAAGCCAGCTCCATGGCTTAGTAGTTAAGGAAGCCGGATTCCAAATGGCTGATCTTGCAGTTCTAGTCTTATACCTAGCGGCTTGAAAAACACACTGGGGCCAGAACCAGCAGATGGTGTAATGGCTATGTTGCTGGACTCCCATGTAGTCGAACGTGGTTCAAGTTCTGGATCTGGTGGCTTAAACTCATGCTGGACACATATGCATACATGCCCAAGATCCTGAGAGGAAGATGGAGGAGAAGGGATTACAGTGTGGTCATCCTCACTGGGGGGGTTGATTTCTCACTTTCTGTCTCTCTGTCTCTGTCTTTCTGTTGAGCACACATGCCCTACAGCAAAAACCTCTCCAAAACGAAAAAGAAAAACACACTGGGGGGTGGGGGGTGGGGTAGCAAGTGGCACAGTGGTTAAGGTGCTGAACCCCCACATGGCTGACCACTTTGAGGACTGGACCTGGCAGCTTAAAGTCATGCCAGGCATGTGTTCGTGTATGCACAAAATCCTAAGAGAGGATTGAAGCATGGCTATCTGCCGTGGGTGGTGATTTCTCACTTTCTCTGTCTGTCTCTCTGACAAACACATGTGCCTCATAGCAAAAATCTCTCCAAAAGAAAAACACACACGCACACACCATGCATAAATACATGCCCAAAATCCCAAAAAGGGGGAGAAATGGAGAAGTAACTGCAGCATGACCATTCTCCCTCTCTCTCTAATAAGCATACTTGCCCTCGACCTGAATAAATAAATAAGGAAAACTGGAGAGCATCTAGAAGGGTTGGAGGGGGGCCAACAGGTGGTGTGGTGGTTAAAGTGCTGAACTCCTACATGGTCGACTGTGGCTCAAGTCCCAAACCTAATGGCTTGCTTTCTCATTCCACCCACCCCCTACCTCTCTCTCTGGTCAAATTTAAAAATAGTAATAAATAAAATTAAATCATTCTTAAAAAATAAAAAGATGAAGGGGTGGGGGACTTAGACTGGTAGCACTGGGCAGTCATCTAGAAGGCCACAGACTGAGTGACAGAGAGAGAACTGAACTAGAAGAAAGGAGGCTTTTTAGGAGGAGAAAGTATCAGAGGTCCCTAGGCAGAGGACAGGCCTACAGGAAAACCTAGGCCATCTGAAGAGCAGCTAAGGAGGCCAGGAAGCAGGTTCCTCCCAGGCCTGAGGAGACTCCTCCCTGCTGAGTTCTCTTGGGCTTCCCAGTGGCCTGGGGTCTATCTACCCATCCCCCACCCCTCACCTGGACAGGTGCCAGGAGGTCGTCTTCTCTCTCCTCCCCAGGGCTCTTCCCCTTGCTCTAGCCGAGTGATGAGTTCTGGTTTAGAATGGAGGATTCCTGCTTACAGGGAAAAAGGAATGACTCTTGGTTGTAGCTCTAGGGCCTTTCTGGGATCAGAAAGACAGCACAATGACTCCACCCTAGGTGCTCAGAGGACTCACCCTCAGGGAACCCAGCTCTGGGTAAGGGACCTGCACATGCACAGTATCAGTACTGCTGGGAGAAACCTGCCCCAGCAGGACCTCCCCTGGGGGAACAGTGTGCTTTCCCTGAGCCTCACCATAAGGCAGGCAAAATGCCAGGGAGAAGCCAGGCTTACCTAGGGAGACCAGGAGGCTGTAGTTCGCCAGCATCACCTCCCTGTACAGGGTCCTCTGCACAGGGCTCAGAAGCCTCCACTCCTCCTGGGTGAAATCCACAGTCACATCCCCAAATGCCATGACGGCCTGTAACACAAACCCAGTGGGCTCACCATGAGGTAGCCTTCGTCAGGACGGTGGAGAATTCCAGGTGCCACTCCGTGCCTGGGGTCCTAGGCCTTGTTCTGCCTGGCCTAGCATTCATGACCCTGCGGGTGGGACTCCCTGGGGCTTCCAAGAAAAACAAGGAGTTCCAACCCACCTTGAGCTCAGACCTAGGCAGCAGAAGAGGAAAGCTCAAGTATTAAAACTACACTGTTCTCTGGAAACACGTGAACATTAAGTAACAATACAGTAAAAGCATGAATGGTTCCTGAGCCATGTCCTGACTTGGGGCTCCAAAATTTACAAATGAGGCTCACCAGTGTTCTAATACAACGAAAACCAACGACTTCTAACCTCCCTCAGAAAATGTAAATGTCCACCACATGAGCCCAGAACTGAGATCAAGCCCAGATCCGTAGTGGACGTGTCTATACAACAGGCTAGGCACATCTCAAATCCTGTAAAAGGGGGTAGTTCACCTTCTCCACGGGCAAGAATGAGTCCAGCCTGGCATCTCTGTAGAGCTTGACTGAAATAGGAGGGAACTGAGGCCAGAACATTCTGAACACCTAAAATCTAACAGACAAGAAGAAACTGGGTCTGAAGCAGTTGGAACCAAAATGGCCCCTAGAATGATCGCTGCCTAAATGACACTCTCATCTGTACCATGACAGTTTGGAAAAACCATGGCAACAACTAGAACTACCCTATTAAGGTAAGAAAGTAGGAGGGACAGTGGTTCTAGAAAAACCACTGCCCCTTTCCTGGAAGTCATGAAGAAACCATTCCTTAATTAGTCCAGCATTAAGCCAGCCACATGAGCCAGACACTCACCAAAATTCAAGGCGGCCCTACCTATAGGGTAGCCCTTCTATCTTTCCTCCTGGGTAATGGTTCTCTCCTTCCTCTCAGAGGCAGAGGAAGGAATGAAACTTCATCTATCTCCTCTATGGGACTGTTCCACCTATGGCATAGTCTGCTCTGTACACTTTCCTTAATAAACTTGCTTTCACTCTCCCTCAATGGCTTCCTTTTGAATTCTTTGAGTAAAGCCAAGGATCCTCACACACAGGTGGAATCCTCCCAAGTTGAGTCTCCCCAGAAACACTCTGGCACATAAAAAGGGAGGGGGAATAAATCAAATACTGGCCTTGGTATGAAAATTGCTAAAACTAGATAACAGGTATACAGTAGTTATCAGAACTGGGGCCAGCAGGAGGCATAGTGGTTAAGGTGCCAGATTGCCACATGGCCGACCATGGTTCAAGTCCTGGACCCAGTGGCTTGAAACTCATTCTCGGCATGTATGTGTGTGTGCCCAAAATCCCAAGATGAAAATGGAGGAAACAGGACTGTGGTGAAGCCACTCCCACCCGCCACCACCATGGGGAAGTGATTTCTCACTTTACCTTTCTTTCTCCAGGGAGCACATGTGGCCTATAGCAAAAATCTCTCAAAAAAAATGTTATCAGAATCAAAATGGAGATATCTGTGTCAAACCTTAATATAAGGGGCCAGTAGATGGCATAATGGTTATATTGCTGGACTCCCACGTAGTCAAAGATTTGAGTCCTGGACCTAGTGACTTAAAACTCACACTGGGTGTGTGTGTGAATGTGCCCAAGATTCTGAGAGGAGAACTGAGAAGAAGGGATTGCGGCGTGGCCATCCCCCAGGGGGTGATTTCTCGCTTTCTGTCTCTCTGTCTCTGTTTCTCCAGCAAGTACACACACTCTATGACAAAAATCTCTTAACAACAACAACAACAACAAAAAACCTTTAATATAAAAAAAGGGAGGGAGGCTGGAAAAGGAGAACACACATATGCATATGCCTATGATAAGAACTACTGACACTACAAAAAGTTTCTGAGGGGCAATTACACGCATATGCCTATAGTAAGAATGTTTTGGGGACCAGCCGGTGGCATAGTGGTTAAGGAGCTGGACACATGGTCGACCATGGTTCAAGTCCTGGGCCTAGTAGTTTGCTTTCTCACTTTTCTCTCTCTCTCTCTCTCTCTCTCTCTCTCTCTCTCTCTGGTCAAATTAAAATAAGTGAATGAATAAATAAAATTAAACAATTCTTTTAAAAAAGAATGCTTTTTTTTCCTTTTTCTAAAGAATTATTTTATTTAATTTTACTTATTATTATTTTGTTAAATGTTTTATTTAACTTTATTTATTTATATATTTTAACTTGACCAGAGAGGGACAGAATGAGAGAGAGGGAAAGTGAGAAAGCAGGCTGACAGGTTCAGGACTTGAACCTTGGTCAGCCATGTGGGAGTTCAGTGCCCTTAACCACCGCCGCCGGCCGGCCCCAACTTTACTTATTATTTTTTAATTTGACCAGAGAGGGACAAATGGAGAAAGCAAGAAAAAAGTAAGAAAGCAAGCCACCAGGTCTGGAACTTGAACCGCAGTTGCCCATGTGGGAGTCCAGTGCCCTTAAACACCATACCACCCGCTGGCCCATTATTTTACTTACTTACTTACTTACTTACTTACTTACTT